TGAGACGGAGTTTCACTCATGTTACCCAGGCTGGAGTGCAATGGCGCGATCTCGGCTCACCGCAACCTCCGCCTCCTGGGTTCAGGCAATTCTCCTGCCTCAGCCTCCTGAGTAGCTGGGATTACAGGCACGCGCCACCATGCCCAGCTAATGTTTTGTATTTTTAGTAGAGGTGAGGTTTCACCATGTTGACCAGGATGGTCTCGATCTCTTGACCTCGTGATGCACTCGCCTCGGCCTCCCAAAGTGCTGGGATTACAGGCTTGAGCCACCGCGCCTGGCCTAAACCTGTTCTTAAAAGAAAAACAATACCAGCAAAATGAAACAAACAAAACAAAAGCAAAGAGAAGAAACAGACACCCTCAAGTCTGCCTAGGAGTATAAAATGTTAGTATGATAGTGTCTCTTCTTCCCTCATTCTCTCCCCACCTGCAGCCATCTCTATATTGAGTTTTACTTGTTCACTTTTTACAAAAGTGGGATTGTGTCATAAATATGTCATGGATGATTGCTGGATTTCCAAGTGGGTTTGTCTCCTTTCCTATTTGAAAATGTCCTCTGTGTCTCTATTTGCAAGATCACTGGCCCACTACTTATGAGGAACCAGGAACTCGGCCATTACTGTGAGACAGAATGGGGTGGGGGCCCGCTGAGTAGTAGGTGTATTACGTGTGTGATCTTTGGGCAGGACTGATTTCTTCACTCTACCTGCTCTTTTTGCTACTGCTACTGTGTGTCACCAGGGATAGGAGCATTAGATTCAGGAAACATGAGTTTTCAAGGTTAGAAGAGACTGTCTCGAGAGATATGTTCAGTCTCCTCGGTAAAAATGTCAGTGCAGAGAGATATGCAGACATGCCTGAAGCAGACTAGCGAGTTAGATGAGGCTTCCGTTGTATGCCTATCTCTACAAATTCTGAATCTAAGTGATTTTTCCACTGAGCATACAAGGTCAGGTAAATGATCTGTTGATGATTGAATTTCCCCTATAGCCATGTGTTCATTATCTTCCTGATAATGTTTGGTCATTTTTGGTTAAGGCGGAGTCAACACCCTTCAGCACGATCCACTCTTCCCGCGTGTGTGGTGTGTGTGTGTGTGTGCGTGCGCGCGCACGGACACAGTGTCGTCACTTTCAGAATCTGTCCTGTTAGCATAACCTCTCTAGACGCAGTTCCTTACCTCATGACAGAACAATGCTGATAAGAACGTGAAAGAAAATCAAAAGGAAAAATAGAAAAGCAACAGGAGAATAACGCTCTAGAGATGAGATGGTGTCAAAGCACTTAAAATTTTTGTGTTGCCACTGCTCCTACAGGGAGTAGCTAAAATATCCCAAATAGTGAGTCTCTTTTAAATATTCCCCTGAGAAGATGAAAAAAATAAACTCACAGGCCACATACTGATACATTCATCTCTTCATCCAAGATGGTGATTATCTTCGGCACTGTTACTCGCACTTCAAACTTGGGAAGAACTGTTGATTGGTGATAAAGAAGGTTGGTGATTGTTTTTCAACTTTGAAGGAATTCATATTTTCAGCTTCCCTGTAACAGTTCCCTAATAATATTTTAGGGCTCTGAAAAGGCAGCTCTGCGCTCCAATATATTCTTATCCATCCTCCTCTCAAATGAAGATTTTAGCTGAATGACTATGAGAGATCGCCATATGCTTAATTCATTATGGAAAACTCCATTAAAACAAGGCTGTTTAAATTTCCGGGGGGTGGTATTAAATACTGCTACAGAAAATAACCAAGCCATGTGAAGTCCTATTCACAAATCACTGATGTCCCTCATTGGACTTACGTGTAATTAGTTTTACTCCAAGCCCAATGTCACCCATGGGAAATGGAAAGACTCCAAATGAGCTTAAATTCCACACCCTAGGAGTTTAAATATGAAGAAAAATGTTCCACGACTTTCCATGATCCATACCAAATTCCTCCACGGTAAAGGGGTGCTCTCTCCTTCCACCGGATTCCTTCTGTACTACCACCTTGTAGGAGCCCTGGAAAGGCTCTGATGAGAGGGGAAAAGACAATTGCTTCAGGCCATCCTCTAACTGGAGACTCCGCCACTGTGCAATGCGATTTCCTTTGGGATCCTACGAATAAATGAATTATAATTTACGAAAGCACCTGGAGCATTAGAGATAATAAAAGAAATCTATGGAAACTCCTAAGTTATCTACAAAAAGGACAAATGGGGTGGTGGTAAAGGGTGAGGAGAGGAGATGAGTTACAATCTAGCCCTATGTGAGTTGGAAGGCTTCTCCTTTAACGACAAGTTTCTGAGATATCGTTAAAACCTCTCAGGTAAGAGCGTTTCCCTGTATGTATTACTTTCCTTCTAATATGGAATGCTTCATGTTTCTTACCTGAATGTATACTAGTGGAATCTGAAACACAAAAGAAAGAAAGGAAGTTTATAATTATTTTCAAATATTCTTAAATTTCATTTACAAACACAATAGGGTGAGCATAGTCAGAAATAATTTAATCCTACATTTAAAAGTAACTAGAAGTATAATTGGATTGTTTGTAACATAAGGAATAAATGTTTGAGGGGATGGATATCCCATTTATTGATACAGGCATGCAATGCATGACAGTAATCATTATCCATGATTGGATAATGAGATAAATAATGATTGCATGCCTGTATCAAAATATCTCATGTAACCCATAACTATATATACCTACTATGTATCCACAAAAATTAAAAAAAAATAAAAAATTTAAAAAACCTAAAAAAGTTTTATATAGAATAATTCCCTCTATAGTGAAATACAGAAAGATTCCAGATTAAATGTTACAGAACTCTTCATTAACCTATTTTAAGCACTTAATAAATAATGGTAAGAGCTTACTAGGCCATCAGCAACAAATCTACATGTACAGTGCCATTTACTAGAGATGGACTTATTAACATTTCTTAAGTGCTTATAGCATCTTAGTGAAGAACATTCTTTTGCTATGCAATTTTACAGGCTGAGAAATAAACACTTAGGTAACTGTAAGTAAATACGTTCAGATGTAATCATTGAGATGGGTCATAGAATTCGTAGGTAGTTCTAAGAATGAGGAGGAATGGAAATATTTCATTAATAAATGTTAGTTTAATAAATATCACTTTCAAAAAATGAATAAACTTTGATAGAGAAGCTAGTATCAATGTTCATTCATTTTTAAAAACTAATGTTTATTAAGTACCTTCTTATGTGCTGTGTATCATTCTAGGTATTGAGAATATAACCATGCACAAAAGAACAATGTATCTGATTTAAGGGAGCTTACATTATAATAGAATTGGGCAGAGTTTTTAAAACTCACATGTGTGGGATGGATAGGATGGTGGTGAATGCCAAGGGAAAAACAAAGGAGAGTCAGGCGGACAGTGATGGATGTGGTGCTTCATTTTAGATGGAGAAGTGAAAGCAGAAGCAGGGAGACCACTTTGAAGGCTACTGCAACGATCTTATTTAGAGATGACATTGGCTAGGACTAGCTTGCAGCAGTAGTTCAGATGATAAGAAGCAGTCCAGTGTTGCATTTTATATATGTGAACAAACAAAAAACGCACGGTTCATAATAATTTCTTTTCGAAATAATATGTTTGAGATTTCAGGTACACTTATTGGGATTTACAAGACATACAACATAACAAAAAGTGTTGCAGTAAATCCAAAAGAAATTGCATCTAAAGGACTTTGTTGAACTGTTTATACTGAAGATTCTTCAAATTGATTCAGTGTATTACTGATTTTTTTCTATTTGTAAAGGATTATGAGTTGTATAAAATACATACTCCTTAAACTAGGGAAAAAAAAGTAGTAGTCTGAATGTATTTTAGGATATGGGTATGAGAGAAAGAGAAACAAGACTATTCTGTAATCTTTTGTCTTTGGATTTAGAAGAGCAGACTTGCCTCTTTTGGAGATAAGAAAATGTGAAGAAGTAGATTTGGGAGAAAAAAATGAAAACTTTGGGTTGATGTCTGCATTACAACAGAAAGAGTTGTTTCTTATCACACAGACAAAGGAACAAATTACTTACCTTGACTTTTCTTGATAGCAAAGATTTTGGTAGGTATGTATAGAAAGAGTCTAAGTACTTAAAATATCTTTTGAACTTAGGTTCTTTGAGGGTTTATCTGTGTCTGTTATTTAATATATCTTTCTAATTATCCTAATTAAGAGCTATCTGAAAAGTAAATTTAATTGTGTGACAACTGATTAAATTTAGTTTATCAGTGCTTGGTGCTGAGTACCAGCACCAAGGCAGAAAGAATTACCTGCTTACCTTTACCTGGAATGATGTTTTAGATTAGGATCTTGCGTTGTTGTAATGCCAGAAGTTACTGTTAGTGATACCAGATTCTTCCTCTCCCTGGTCTTCCCCCAACACAGAAAACAGGTTCCCAGGCTGTTTATACAGATAATCATTTTATGTAGATAATAGAAAACTCACCAACTCATTCAGGGGGTGAAAGGTTTCATCCAATGAGACAACACGAAATTTCACTGAAACAGAAATATTTTTCATGAGCCCCCAGACCCAAAGTAGGGCTATAGGTTGGTAAGATAAGCTACTTAAGGAATCAAGATTATAGGAACTTTGCCTGGGGAACATCCAATGGAAGAAGATCTTTCCTTTTTGAAGTTTTCCCATCTGTAGGTTTCTCCCTACCTGTCTGCCCTGGTTTGTAGATCGGTTTGTCTGTCTGGACAAAGACCAGACTCTCGTCGTTCTTAACTATGACTGAGGTCCGCTTCTTGAATTCTTGGGTTGGTCCTTTCACTTGGACAGTGAGGAACATTACTTCCTCACTGGATGAAATCTTTGGGACCTGAAAGGTAGGACAGATCCTGAAACCCCATTCAGCACCGCAGGTCTCCTCCCGTTTCCTGTTCTACTCTTCCTGGAGTCCTTGCCCTTCTTACTTCACTTCACTCCCTTGTTCTCAGCAGGGAAAGTTGGCAGGGACAAGAATCACTTCTACCATTTTACAAACGGGGAGACTGGACACAAGGTGGAGGAACATACATCAGTAAGAGAGGTTGTAAATGAGATTCATATCTTCATACAGCTCAGAAAAAACCGCCTTGATTCAATTTTACACGGGAGTGAGCTTTACCAGGTTGATACTACATGCCAAAAGGGCATGGTCGAAGCATGTTTTACGGGTATGAAAAAAAAACACTATATTTTACTGACATTAGGCCATAACCATCTCACACGTGGACAACTCTGAAGAGATACTACGCCTTCACTAAGGGTAATTTCCACAATTTTTGCTCTTAGGAGTAGTGTGGAGTGACGTGTTCCTGTGAGTCCACCACTGGTGGCTCATGTTGAGCCCTGGCCTCGTTTGCTTTATTAATATTTTTTCCATCTTAATTTTAAGAAGTCACATTTTCCGTCTTTTTTTCTTTCTGGCTGATGATAGGGTTCCTATTTAATTATTAAGCTGATTTTTACTGTGCCTGTAAATATTTGTCTCCCATGGCTGGAGAGTCATGCATCGCTCCTCAATTTCTATACTTAGTTTGCTACGTTTGGATTCCTTCTGGAAGTTCTTACCAGCCTCCCAAAGCCTCATCTTGACATCATACAAGATCCCTATGACCCTGACTAAAAGAACCAAGTATATTAAGTCAAACAGCCATACTCACAGAGAAGGCGACACAGTGGAGCACGTCCGTCTCTGCCACCAGGTCAGTGAAGAGGCTGCTGTTTCCCCTGATAGACTCCAAGGAAGCATTTACAGTCACTGTCTCCTTCAGGTAGCTCATAAGGATACAGCATTTCTCAGCAGTCTCAGTGTGGAGCAAGGAGGGGACCAGAACCATATACTGCCTGGGAATGAGATGGTTCAGTTAGTGGAAAGTAAAGGAAGACAGGCATTGCTATCAACAGCACTATTTTCCATCATCAGTTCTACACCAAGAGAAGATATACCGATGAGCATGAAATCTGGCTGTTGAAGGCCATGCATAAGAATTATTCCCTCTTTCCCTCACATGCCACGGCAGTGAACATTTTACTTGAGGTAGGTCTTAAACAGATTAAAACTTGTAGGCATGCCTCTCTTCAAGAAACAATTTGTGAACATCTGAATTCAAATAAAAATATGTAGTTACATTTGCTGATGTTGTAAATCTATTTTATCTTCAAATTGCTGTAAAAAGTAAGTAAGCTCTCAGTCATGCAGACATTACAAAAACTAATTGAATTATAGAAATTTCATTAATATATGTGTACATGCTTATACATATACACACACACAGACAGCACCCCTATGAAAATTGTATGGTAAGTACTCGCTGCCACTCCAAAGATATGGAATCTGAGCCTCAAAGAAAGTGAGCCATCACTTTAAAGTCTCAGTTGTGGTAAGCAACTAATAAAGTTTTAATCATGGATGTTTGCATTTTAAATATTTGCCTTTCAGCTCATGATTAGACAATGGCTCCACCCAGAAATGGTCCTCTAGTGATTGACTTTAGATCTTGTTAACTCATGTGCAGTACGGAAACTTTCTCAGTACCCTGATATATAATTTAAGATCAATCTACAGTTTTTAAACATTTTTGCTCACACAATGCCTGAAGTAATTTTTGGACACTGTGCACTCCTTACATACTTTCAAGTAAACATATTTTTATCATGATGTTAAATAATAGCAAAATATATTATTTTTGATGATATTTAAAATTAATACTCAGATTACTTTTATAATTTTCTCGTCAAATAATAAACACTGTAGTGATACCTACTATCGCTATGTAAAAATACATTAAAAAGTTCTTTTAATGGTCTGCTATTTAACATCTTTCTGATTTTTCCTCCTTGAATTTGAATTTCCATACCAATTGCCATACAGAAGTTTATCTTAAATTTTTATACTTCAAAATATTTTGTGAATCATTCTTACTTCTTTATTATCAAGCACCTATACATAAATGTATGTATACATATATTTGCATATATACATAATATATACGTATACATAAATACATATATATATATATATATATATATATAACATACACGGGTAAATTTAACTCCTCTTTTAAATAGAATGTGACCATACATTTATAAATATTAAACATTTTCTTCTAATTGAACTATTTTCAAAAATACTTGTATGTAACTGATCAAAACAAAATACATTACGAAGTATGATTCATACATATTAGATATAAAATTAAAATACTTTTGAAGCACATCTTTCATGAGAATGATAAGCTGTTTTTCCTCCAGTGAATTTATGTATCCATGGATGAACAGTCGTTATTGCAATAATTAAACAAGGTCTAACATTAATTCTGTACTGTTCTTGTTTTGCGTAGATATAAGTACTAAGAAGAATGGTTCACATACAAGTAAGTAAATGGCAGGTAAAACAATTGTTTCACTGTTACCGTCTGGCAACTTCTGCGTTACATGCTAAAAATCACCTAGTACTCTATTATCAAGAATTGCTTCTCATCACTCAGCAGCTGGTGTTCCCTTCAGTTCTTCCGTCAGTTTTGTTGAAACAAAGAATTCATCACAACCTCATCTGCAAAAGGATTTTCTCTTCTGACATTAGAGTCCCTTGCGTTTTCAATATCAACACCAGTATTTCAAATCGTTCCTTTATTTGGCACCCTACAGATTTTTATACTCCAGGGCATCGTTCCACATTTGGTTGTGGGAGAGACTTGTCTTTGTTTTTATAAAATAGAAAATGGGCCCTTAAGAAAGAGGAAGTAAAAAAGATAAATATCATGGCCTCAAGTAGATCAATATGAATACGAAAATCTAAAAATTATTCTTTTTTAAAAAAACTATTTCTGACACTCCTTAGGAAGGCTTTGCATGTTAGAGATTCAGAGATCCGTAGAGTTGGGGAAGAATGATTTAGAATAGGCAGGGAAGAATGATTAAGAGTAAACCAGATTTACAGAATCTGGAAGCAACATTAGAGATAAGGAGGTGGCAGTATCATAGGAAAGAAAAATAAATGATATAAAGAAAAATTTTCAATAAATGAAGGACTCTAAGTTCATGCTTCATGCTCTGTGTGGAACTCAC